CTAATGTGGGAAAGCTCCCTTTCCCAAGGAGAGGGTCCAGGGAAAGCCCACAACCCACCTTGAGAAAAGAAGCCAAAGAGCCAGCTGTCTGCACAGGGAACGTGAGAAAGCAGCCAACTCCTTCAGTGTTTGGGGCCCAAGATAGGCAGCAACAGAAAAATCCCAACTTGCTCAGAGACTTGAGGAAAAGAATGGAAAATTTTAGCAGGTGGGGTAGTGATTCCAGCTACATGCAGCTCCAGCCCGTGCCAGTGTTTGCAAAGCCACAGAAAAGCGGCTTTTTCATGAAATTATGCCCCAAAAGTTGGATGCCAGATGTAGAGCGAATTCTAATTGGTTTGAATAATCAAAAACTGGAGTCAGATATTAGGGTGAAAGCTAAAAGATCAGAGAAGATGAGCATCCAGCCACTAGAAAGGCTTCTTATCTCTAGAAATCCTCAGACTGAAAGGGGGCCGAGCTCCTGTTTCCACCTCACCTTATCACTTCCTCCTTCTGCCCAGCCATATCACTTCCTGTTTTCCCCTCCCAATTGCCAGGATTAAAGGTGTGTGCCACCACTGCCTGGCCTCTATGGTTAACTAGTGGCTTAGCTCCACACTCTGATCTCCAGGCAAGCTTTATTTGTTAGAGCACAAAGAAAATATCACAATTGCCACTTAACTCTTATGCATTATTTAATGTTTCCTGAGTTTATGGCTTATCTTATCTACTCTGTAACAGGAGTTTGAGGCCAGAGCATGCATTTGGCATCTTATTTAACAGCTGTACAGTACATCTAGACGTAGTTCCTGCTAAGAACACAGACTATCTGCAATTGAATCCCATATCTTCGGTTTACTCTGGGTGTGGGCTGGGGCTAGCTGTCTTCTGTGCCTCAGTTTCCCCATCCACAGTAGGGAACTGTTGTGGAGATTGAGTTAATCCTTACAGAGCCATGATAGGTGTTGTGTTGTAGTTAGTGGTGATAGCCACATAGCACTGTGCTGCTAGTTAATGTGTAAATCTGTCACCACGATGGAGCAACCACAGGTCATGGGTCTGTTTGTCTTCTCACAAATTTTGTCAGGGTCTGGGAAGGACTGTCCAAGAGTGATGGGGTGGCAGGTCCTGGGAGGAGGCTCTATCCCTGTGCAGTGCTGTGGGCAGCTCTGGGAGCCTGGGTGTCGTGCTGAGAACCTGGAGGGCCCAGCTGGGAACTGGATTAACAGGGTGAAGATGAGCAGTTTAGCTGGTTTCAGCCCTCCATGTCATAGTGCCTCAAAAAGAAGAGGAAGATCCCCAACAGTCCTTCTCTGTGGTATGCTTCAGTGCCTTTGTACTGTGGGCTGCTTTTTTGTTGTTGTTGTTTTGTTTTGTTTTTCATAACATTGGCTGAATGGGTAGCAGATACTAAAGCAATCTGATCTTAAAAGATCTGTTGGATAGACATTGCATGCACACTTCTGAACACAGCTCCTCTGGAAAATGCTGAAGTGACTGACCAAGGGTGGCATGTATAAACACCGAGACTCCGAGGCTGGTTTACAGTGCTTTCCCTTGCCCTGTGTGGTGGCAGTCAGTGGGCGAGTTCTGCTTTAGGGCTCACGTGGCTTAGGTTGTATTTTGAATGGCCAGGGACAGCTCACTAGGTAGAGGTGGCTCCCGGGGTTAGGAAATAGATGTCCCTGTTTCACAGCTTCAGCTGGGTTTCTGGGCGACATTGAGTTATCGCAGTGATGGCACAAAGAACAATTCTCTCCTGTGTTAACCGGAGACTGGTGACTCCTCATGGACAACTGTGCCACTGCCATACAAAATACACTTTGTCATCACGTTCATGAGCCCGGCCTTTCGGTTGTTACGACAAATGATGCCTCAGATATGAAGCTGATTCCACCCCCCACCCCCACCGAGTGTCCATTGTTTTCCATTTATTTATGGGCAGTATATGTTCAAGCCATTTTAATGTAGATACCAAACGAGAAGGGCTATTTTATCGAGAATGATTTCACTGCCTCACATCAATAATTCAGAAATCCCTGCTGTAGGAATGACTCGGCGTAGGTTCTGGTAGGAGGACTTTTAGGGCTGTGTTAGATTTTTCACAGTGTGTTGTTGATTACTGACATTAGAGTTTACTGGGTGAGAAAACTTTCGGCTTTCTAAAAATAAGCAAAAGCCAATCTTCCGCAGTTTGAACGAGCTGCGGTGCTGTCCTTGGGAAGGTCATGCGTTTCCGTGTTCCATGTAGTTTCCGGTAAAGCAGTCACGACAAAAGCCGTCTGACTCCGGAATGAGTTGGATGGATCTGTGTGTGTGTTGCTGAGCACTGTCTCGGTATTCACAAGCTGCTGTAACAAAACTCCAAACATGGACTGACAGCAGGTTAATTTCTCATGGTTCTGGGGGCTGGGAACCTGCCGGTCAAAGTGCCCAGTGAGAACTGCTCACGGGCTTCAATCTGCCACCTTCTCGCTGTATCCTTATGTGGCCTTTCCTCACCAGGTGAGTCTGAGAAAGAGAAACCTGTTTAGTTGTTTGTGAAGGACCTGTTTAGTTGTTTGCTAGAGCTGTGATCCCATCACAAGTGTCCTTCACAGTGGAGGGAAGGACTTCCACCTGGGGATTTAGGAAGGGGATGCAAACAGATGTGTGGTGGTGGTGTGTTCCCCAAAATATTGTGCACCCTAATAAACCTATCTGGGGTCAGAGAACAGAAAAGCCACTAGATACTTAGGATAGGCAGTGGTAGCACACGCCTTTAATCCTAGCATTCCAGAGGCAGAAATCCATCTGTTCAAGGATACAGCCAAGCATGGTGACTCACGCCTTTAATCCCAGAAAGCGGAGCCTTTAATCCCAGGGAGTGATGGTAGAAAGCAGAAAGGTATATAAGACGTGAGGACCAGGAACTAGAAGCATTTGGCTGGTTAAGCATTTGGCTGGTTAAGCTTTTAGGTTTTGAGCAGCACAGTTCAGCTGAGAGCCATTGGGATGAAGACACAGAAGCTTCCAGTCTGAAACAAGATCAGCTGAGAAGTTGGACAGGTGAGGTAGCTGTGGCTTGTTCTGACTCTCTGATCTTGCAGTGTTCACCCAAATACCTGGCTCCGGGTTTGTTTTATTAATAAGACTCTTTAAGATTCCTGCTACATACTACATAGCTGCCCTCTCAGGCTCTAAGTAGCACAGTTGCCCCCCCTCCCCTGAAGTGCTCACCCCAGGCGTTTCTAGCAGTCTGCACACTTGTCTCATCCGCAGCAGCCAGATAGGAGCCACTTCAACAAAGGGACATTGCCTCAGCAAACCTCAGTTTTATTAAAGCGCAGGCCTTATTTCTGGCTCATTTCTTGCCCTCGATCCGAGGTTGCAGAGATGAGTTCATTTCCACTGTGTTTGCTGTGCTCACAGCACTGGCCTCTGCTTCCTCAGAACCCAAGTCAGACATGAAAATGTCATCTGAAAACACATGTAGAAGAAAGTGAATGTTCTGTAACGGGACATTTCTTAGTTACTTGCATTTGTTGATACCTTCTCCATTTGTTAATGCTTAGGAACTAGTTAACACATGGGTATTTCTAGTGGGAGAACCTTACAGAGCTTATGATAAAAAGTCATTGGAATAGAGGGCAAAGGGTGGCAGGGGAGCCACTCACCAGGGCTGAAGTCTGCATCACGACCTAAGAATGTGCGTCTGAGCTTTGGCTCCTCATAGCCTCGCTCAGGAGGACTTGGTGGCAGGCCTTCTCTGACCTACTTCTGAGGTCGTAGCAGTCTCTGTGGAGGGCACTTAACTAAGGACCACTAACATCAGATTAGAAGTCAAGCAATCAAATATTTTATACAAGTTTGAAGAAATAAATATATTTAGGCAGTGACAGAGGTTGTTCACTTAACATCTCTTGAAAGCCTAAAGTTACATGATTCCACATTTTTTTAAAATTAGTGTTATTTTTAATTTATCCATAACAGTATAGACACTGTACCCACGAATGGGGTTATATTTTGACAGATGTGTGTATATTTTCTTTAATAAAAGAAAGCATTTAACTGGGTCTCTGGTTAGAGACCAGAGGTTAGAGTCCATGGAGTGGAGCAAAGCTATGGAGGCAGGAACAGCTGAGCACTCAGGTCTCTAGCCACAAGCAGGAGGTAGAGAGCACAGTGAGAATGATATCAAAACCTCCAGCCTGCCCCCAAGTGACACACCCCCTCCAACAAGGCCACACCTCCTAATCCTCCCCAAACAGGTCCACCAGCTGGGGACCAGGTATTCAAATATATGAGCCTGTGAGGGTCCTTTTCTTTCAAGCCCACATCCATTCTGCAGATGACAGAGTGAAGAATAGCACTCTGCTGGGCGGAGCTTCTGAGTAATTCCAGGCACCACTTCTTGCTTTCTCTGCTTCTAAAGTTACAGCTGGTAAGCCTACCTGTGCCGAAGTGGTTTCCTACGTCTTAGATATTTTGTAATGCTTTTTATCTTTGCAAATATTTATCATTTCTTCATGGTGAAAACATTGGATATACTGTCTTTGGATGGAAAACCCACTGATTTTTATCCACTAAAAGAAAGCTGTGGGTGTACAGTTTTAGAGGTGAGCATTTGCAAGATGGTTTGTTTTGTGTTTTTATAGTAGACAGCAGCAGCAGCAGCAACAACAACAACAAAAAACTGCTTAAACTTTTGTTTCCTTTCTGGTTTCTCCTGAGACACAACATTTATTTTTTAGGTGATTCTTTGGATTCTCTGATTGCTGGACCTTCGACTGTACGTGTGTCTCCCGCTGTGGACAGTGTGGAGCTGACTCCTCCCTGCCCCTTGTTGTCTGAGCCTTCCTGCTCTCCAGAGGAGCTGTTCTGTTGCTGTTAGTGTGACTGGTCATCATGGAGACATGTAGCGACCTATGAGTATTCCCCCGGCCTGTGCATCCCTTGTTTTCCCTGTGCTTATCACCACCGTAGCCCTGGACTCTTCCCCACTTCTCCACATTTCCTCTTAGGACTGTTGAGTTGTATTGGTGTTTGACGACTATCCTTTTGGCTGACAAGGTTGCCCACGGAACCTCCCATCCATCCTGACTGACCAGCGGTCCAGGGGCGTCTTATCACCTTCATCCCTGTGTTCTCTTTGCTTGCCTCGCATATGAGATCAATTCTTTCCTGTATCCCATGACCTGCTCTCTCTTGATTAATCTCCTTGGGGTGGCAGACCACAGCCCAAGAAGGGGATGATGTGAGATGAATTTTTTTGAAATATTACATGTGTCAGTTCACTTTATCATTACCATCACGTGCCTTTCAACTCTTCCTTAGATTGTGACAGCTGAGTCTACCTGTGCATATTTCTCCGTGTGTGTTTGCTGTCGTTTGAAGGAGGGTTAGGGAAGGAACCAACTACCTATGTTTAATCTGGCCTGTTCCACCACCAGGGTCATGTAACTTTATCCATTTTAAGCACAACACATATTCCTTTCCAATTGGAGCCGAGAAAGCAAAACAATTCAGGAAAAAAGCGTTACTTGTCTTTTCAAGTGCAAAAGTGTAATTGAAGCTGCTGAGTTGAACAGGAGAAGATTTTAATAACCAAAGAATAATAAAAACAGTGCATCAAAGAAAATCTATCATAACCAGGCAGTAAGAGGTCTTTGTCTGGGAAAAAACAAAGCTTTTTCTTTTGCTGCTAAGATGAATAAGGTTTAGGGCTGGGAATGTAGCCCAGTGGAAGAGTGCTTGCCAAGCATGCACAAGGCCCCAGATTCTATTCCCAGCACCACAAAGGAGCTCTTTTGCCCAGGCTTGTGAAGCCGGCAGGATTGGCAAGTGTATGGTCTTCATAATGCCGGGAAGTGCCATAGTCACTGGTGGGACCAGGCATGTCTTGGTAATACCAGAAAGCTCATGGGCACAGCCCTTGAAGGCCAACTATTTTGGAGGTGTTTCTCCTGCGAAGGGAACTGTGATGGAAAAAGCAGGAAAAAGTTAAATTCTGCTATCAGGAAGTGAGTGTGTCAGGGTCCAGCTGATCAAGAACAGCAAGAAAACCAGAGCTTGGTGCTTAGCGGTGGTCACTTAGGTTTCCTCGAGAAAACAACAAAGTTCTAGTGATTGGTTTGGTCAAAAGAAGTCATATAGTTGGTGATATTCCTGGAGTCCAATATGAGGTTATTAAAGCAGCCAGTGCATCTCATTTGGCTCTGAAAAAAGGCAAGAAGAAAAAATCAAGATCATACATCTCGGTAAGGGAAACACAGTGGTAATACATTTTTGTGTTTAAAAAAATTGGAAATGAGGTGAGGAAGAAGCTATCCAATACTATGAATATTCTAAGTGCCAGTGAGTTATTTATTTTAAAATGACTCACGTGAATTTTACTTCAATTTATAAACCATTTTAACCCAAATATTCTGAAGTTAGAAGTTAGTGGCTGCATGCTACTTCATTTTGGGGCTAGAAGGTAAATCAGCTTACCACAGAGGTCCCAGTACATCCTGATTCTAGCTGCATGTGATAGCACTGCATATGATGGTGTGTGCCTTTAATCCAGAGTTCCAGCCTGGTCTACAGAGAAAGTTCCACATAGTGAGATGCTGTCTTGGAAAAAAGAAAATGTTTCTATTGTTTGCCTAGGACAGAGATTTAAAATGTTTACATTCATGATTCTTGAATTTTTCTGC